CCCGAGCTGCACCGTAAGGATCGTGGGCCGCGTCCTCCCTTGGGAAAGGAAGGGGTGGGGGGGTTAGGAGTAGGACGGAGTACGGCGGGGAAAAAAGGAGATGGCAAACGAACGGTTGGCAAGCTTGGGAAAATCAAATTTTTCCAGCCTGCTTTGGGGATCTTTTAAAAGCGAAGAATAATAAGCGAATAGTCAAATATTTCTCCCCCAGTGGATATCAAAGTGCTGCAGAGCGCCCTGGCTGCCATTAGGCACGCCCGCTGGTTTGAAGAAAACGCCTCGCAGTCCACGTAAGTTTTTATTTTTTTCTCTCTTCTGGATCAGGGAGCCTCTTTTTGTCCGTTGTGGCCCGCCAGCAGAGCCGGCAGCAGATTCGGACAGTGAGGAGGTTGGGGAGGGACGTGGGCCACTCCTGGAGTCTGGGGAAGGCTCAGACGAGGGCTTGGATGAGGCAGAGGCAGAGAGGGGGCCAAGGCCATCTGATAGTTATGTGCAGCCTCCGGAGTCTGACATCAGCGAGGCAGAAGAATAGCGGGAGCCTGTTCCCAGTATGCGCAGAGCTGCCAGTCGACAAGAACAGTTAAAGAAACAGGGTCGACTTGGGAGTAAGGCTTGGAGATGATCGGCCCCTCCACATAAGACATAAAAGAGGAACGAACGGGACGTGAGCTTTTGCAGGAAGCAATTAGTTCATCTGATGGCTTCCCGATTCAAGATTTGAAAGTTCTGTTTGTGACTCTGTGCCAAGTTTGGCCTTGCCCTGCGGCTGGAAAAAATATCTCCAACCTTCCTCTGAAAGACCGTTTTATCAAGCCTTGCGGACTGTATGAATTGAAGAATTAATTGTACGGAAGCCTCGGTCAGAACACTGTCCTTCTAAAAAGCAGCATTTTTTTTTTTGTATTTTACCTGCTGTTTTCAACTTCCATTTAACCTAGTTTTGGGCTGCCTTTCCTTAAGTTGTTTCGAAGGGGGCAATATGGCAGCTTTAATTTCAGCTGTTTCTCAGCACGTCAGTTTCCACGTTAGCACAATTATTTCCACAATCTCCCAAGACACCCGAGAAAATCGTTCTTCCGCTCCCATCGCCAAACCGGCGTTTGTCGTCGTTCTTGCGCGTTACTTGAAGGCGGCGTTTGCTGAGGTGTGTGCGCTAAGCAACCCTCCGCTTCCTGGCCCCCCAAAAAAGTCTTGCGTCAGAGAGGACACAACCGATTGTGATTTCTCCTTTCAGGGTGAAAGTTTTGATCCGGCTCTTAAAGGACCTCAGGATGCGTTTTCCGGGCTTCGAACCTCTCACGCCGTGGATCCTTGACTTGCTCGTAGGTTTCGGGACAAGTGGGGAGGTTTAAAGAAAACTTTTAAATTCCCAATTTAGATTAGCCAACCGCTTTCAACTGCTAGGTTTCTTTTGCGCCTGGCTTCCACACGCAAAGCCTTCCCTCCCCTCTTTTGCGCCGTGTAGAACATAAATCTGAATTCGCGTCTCGCTTGAGAATCTGAGAAGCCAAGTAAGTTTAGAGGAACAGAATTCTTAAATTAAAATAATTTAATTTTAGACCCGTTTCCCCACCCCCTACCCGGAGAGGTGCTCCTGGATTTGAACTCGTTGCAAAAAAATGCCAGTCATTTGTCATTGATCCTAGTTTTAAGCGGTAAATATTTGTCCCTAAATAGAATTGGCCACCGTCCCATCAGGCAAAACATGGGCTGTGAGGATGCCAAATCTGCTTTGGAGAATAGCTTGACTCCCTTTTCTTGGGGGCTGCCCTTGAGATATTGGAAGACTGCTATCCTGTCTCCCCTGGTCCTTCTTTCCCTTATGTCTAGTTTAATGAAAAAAGAAGGACTAGGGGAGACAGGATAGCAGTCTTCCAATATCTCAGGGGCTGCCCCAAAGAAGAGGAGTCAAGCTATTCTCCAAAGCACCTGAAGGCAGGACAAGAAGCAACGGGTGGAAACTAATAGAGGAGAGAAGCAACTTAGAACTAAGGAGAAATTTCCTGACAGTGAGGACAATTAATCAGTGGAACTCCTTGCCTCCAGAAGTTGTGAATGCTCCAACTCTGGAAGTTTTTAAGAAGATGTTGGATAACCATTTGTCTGAAGTGGTGGAGGGTCTCCTACCTAAGCAGGGGGTTGGACTAGAAGACCTCCAAGGTCCCTTCCAACTCTCTTATTCTATTCTGTCCTAAATCCCATTGCTCACCCTGGAGATTTCTATTTCCAAGTTCACACTTGTTAAGATTTCAGCTCCCAGGCAGAGAGAAGTGAAAATCAAAAGAGCCTTGGTAGTACAGTGGTCTAAAACACCCTGCTATTAAGACCAGCTGCCTGCAATTACTGCAGGTTCGAATCTCGCCAAGGCTCAAGGTTGACTCAGCCTTCCATCCTTTCTAAGGTAGGTGAAATGAGGACCCGGTTTGTGGGGGCAATAAGCTGACTTTGTATAAAAATATACAAAAGGATGAAGGCGATTGCTTAACGCACTGTAAGCCGCCCTGAGTCTCCGGCATATAAATCAAATTAAAAAAAAAAAAAGTTCTCCTCTTGCTGAATTCACGATCTTTTTTTTTTTTTCCTTCTGTAATTCCAGGGACATTACGCAGTTATGAACAACCCAACTCGACAGCCGCTGGCCCTCAACGTGGCTTACAGGTAACTCCTGCAAGCCACCTTCCCAAGAGTTGGGATATCTTTTTCTTTTTTTAGGGTGGAGAAGTTTCCTTGCTTCTGCTCATCCTTAAAAGCCCTATCAAGGGCTTCGTGTTTTCCAAGAATTGGGGAGATAAAACCCCATCCTGCCGGCTTTCCGCTCGCTTTTTTGGGGGGCGGTGGGGAGGAATCAAAACAGCAATAGGCCCGGAGAAACATGTCTGTCTGGATTTTTTTTTTCCCCTCCCTCCCCAGGCGCTGTCTTCAGATCCTGGCTGCGGGTTTGTTCCTTCCCGGCTCGGTCGGCATCACCGATCCGTGCGAGAGCGGAAATTTCAGAGTCCACACTGTTATGACCTTGGAGCAGCAGGTTAGCGTCCTCTGCGGTCCTCTGCCTTAAATTTGGTCGCTCTAAAAGTCAGTCACTTGTCCCACCTGGATGTCCCTAATAGACACACCCTCGTCGCGCGATTAGTGTCGCAAATTTTAAATGCACGCTTGTTTCGGTGTGTCGTTTGCAGCTTTTTGTTAAGAAATTCTTTATTTGGCCAAGTGTGGTTAAGCAACACAACGAATTGTTCTCTCGCTTAGCTCAGCCCGGACGTCCCCTTTAAATAACAGCCTCGCTGTGTGTGGATTTACACACACAGCGAGGTGTGGTTTTAAGTTGTGTCGCTTGCCAAGAGTTTTGTTGCAGATTTGTAAAAGTTTGTGTGTTAGAAGCTCCTTTATTAGCCCAGCTTAATTGTACAATTTAAGCGGAAGGGAAGCAACGTTGAGTGGAGAGAGAGAGACGCGAGGCTGTGAAAGATGGGCTTAAAATTCCCAGGTCTGACGCCCCCTACTCAGGACAGCCTCCATCTTTCCCCCCCCTCGTAGGACATGGTCTGCTACACAGCTCAAACCCTCGTCCGCATTCTCTCTCACGGAGGCTACCGGAAGATCCTCGGGCAGGAGGGAGACGCCAACTGTAAGTGTGGAAGCGTTTGGAGACCCGGCAGAGGGAGGGGAGGGGAGGGAAGGGCTGCCAATCCGTTAAGAAACCCCAGAGAAATTGGGGGGGGTGAAGGAGTGGGCTGGCGCGCCCCTCTTCCCCGGACCACGGAAGTCCCCTTGCTTTGCAGACCTCGCCACGGAAATGTCCACCTGGGAAGGCGTGATCGTGACCCCGTCGGAGAAGGCTTACGAGAAGCCGCCGGAAAAGAAGGAAGGGGAAGAAGAGGAGGAAAATCAGGAAGAGCCAGCCGCTGGGGAGGAGGAGGAAAACATGGAAACTCAAGAGTGATTCGGGCCCTCAGGTAATCTTTTTCAACCCCGTTGCCGCTCCGTTCTCCTTCCGGAGCAGAGGTCTATTCAGCCGGTTCGGGCCAGTTCTCCCGAACTGGTAGCGGAAATCGTGGGTGTCCCATTTCCCCCCCAGCTTTATGCCATCCTATTTAGGCAAAAATCAGGGACCCACCAAAGACTCAAAATAAAATTTTTGAAAATGATGTTTCTGTCTTTTCAGAAGACTCAAAAATCAAATCACCTTTCTGTCTTTTTCAGGGGGAATTTCTGCCGTGTCTGAAACGCGATTGGATGAGCCAGCGAAGGGGATCGAGTCCGCCCTCACTTCTGTTCACTTCTTCAACGTCTTCATTTTTATAACTCTTATACCATTAAAATGGGGTGTTCCTTATTAAAAGGTGGCCTTTCGTACAAAAGCTTTTGTGAATCCTTCCTTGCTGTCGAACCCAAGAAGCCTCCACATTATCATTGACCCCTCCCCAAAAATACACGTTTACCCTTCATCCATCCATCCATCCATCTATCTATCTATCTATCATCTATCTATCTATCTATCTATCTATCTATCTATCCTGCCTTTCTCCCGTAGGACTCAAGGCAGTGTAGTCAGGAAAAATATAGATACACAAACATCATAAAATTGCTAATTAAAATTATTATTATAACATAGTTTGGCCCAATTAAATAGAACCTAAAATTTTAAACAGTCCTTTTCACTCCCAAGAAAGGAGGGGGGGGGGAGAGAGAGAGAAATCTACATTCTATGCTAAACCTCCCGTGATTTTGGGTTATTTTTCTGAATTTTTTTTCAAGTCAGCCATCGATCCCCCCCCCCCCCCCGAAAGCAGCTGCAAATTTTAACTAGGAAAGTTAACTAGTTAAAAGGTTAACCAAGTTAGCAAACTAGGATAAAGAACGCTAAATCCTGGTTTAGCCCACGGAGAAATGTTCTTAACTTAGTTCCTTGGTTTCAAAAGTAAAATTCAGCCAAATTCTTCCTAGATATTTTTCTTCTCCCCCCCCCCCCCAAAAAAAAAATCAGCCTGCAAGACAAAGAGTTCATTTTCGCCGAAACTTTTATTTTTTCCCCCCCAGAAAGTTGGGGTGAATGGGGAGAAAAATCACAGTCCAACTTTTTAGGTTATTGTTTTATTATAATTCCGCTCCTATTTAAAGGGAGTCATCCTTCCGCTCTACGGGTAGAATTCCAAACACTTCTGCAACTCAAAAAATACTTCAATTTTTCCTCTCCGCTTCAAGCGCGCGTTGCAAAATTTAAGCCCAGCGGGATTCCTTCCCTCTGGGCTGCACCCCAAAATGCAGCCCCCCCATTTCGGTCGCCTTCCAGATTCGCTCAGGAGTTTGTGGGTGCCTGTGAAATGGCCACAAGCTCGGATTTGTTTTTATTTTTTATGTATTTATTTATTTTTGCCTTCAGACCGTCCCCCTTTCTCACTTGTTGGGAGAGTTATGGGGGTAGTTGCTACTCGCATCCAGGAAGGCCTTTCTCCGGGCGGTCTCCTTACCCACGCTGTGGTTCAGCCTCCTCAGGCGTTCCTGCGGTGGGGGGGGGGAAACGGTGAGGCGGCGTTTTAATTTATTTTTTAATTTATTTTATAAATTCTTTTTTGCACTATGTTATTTGCACGTAGTAGTTGTGGCCCGCCAGTGAGGAGGTTGGGGAGGAACGTGGGCCAGTCCTGGAGTCTGGGGAAGGCTCTGCGTCGGAGGCAGAGACGGGGCCAGGGAGGTCCTTCAGCTAAGTTGCTAGTCCTTTACAAGGAAACACCCCCCCCCCAAAAAAATATGGGTCACTCGACTTTTTACCCATCATTTTGATAGCTGCAAAATAAATAAATACCCACAAAGCACTACGGGAACTGCCCTCCCTGCCAAGCTCTATAAAGCAGGCGTTTTGGGGCCTCTGCCGGACTCCAAGCCCCATCGTCCCCCGCCAGTAAGGCACCTGGGCATTCTGCAGGATGTTGTTCACCAGGACGACTCTACGCCTGGCGTTGAGCAGCTTCTTGACATAGGGATCCAAATCCAGGGCAACTTTCTGGTCCTCATTGATCCGGCAGAGCTCTGGGAGGGAAGGAGGGAAAAATTGTGGTGGGGGGGCTTCTGGGGGGGGGTGTCAAGGGGAGACCCAGAGTTAATGTCCGGACTTACCTGCAGCCAGGCTGTCGATGTGCTCCCGCAGCTCCACCTGGCTCTCCCTGTTGGACAGAGACGAAAGACGGCCTGAATTGGGTCTGGGGGCTTTTTTTTTTTTTTTAGCAGCCTTTTAATCCACAAGGAAGCTGCACCTGATGGATTTCACCCCACTTTGGTGCCTGGAGGCCGTGCGGGTCCCTCCAAGACCGAGTGGCTGCGGCTTCCGGCGTCCCGATATCGTCAGCAGGTGCCATCGCTGACTATTGGGGGTGAATCTTTGCCCCCCACAGAGAGGGCCCGCAATCTGGGTGTCCTCCTGGACGCGCGGCTGTCTTTAGAAGAGCACATGACGGCCGTGGCCAGGGGGGTCTTTTATCAGGTCCGCCTGATCCGCCAGTTGCAGCCCTTTCTGGATCGGGACTCCCTACGCACGGTCACTCACGCCCTTGTCACCTCCCGACTGGACTACTGCAATGCTCTCTACATGGGGCTCCCCTTGAAGAGCACTCGGAGGCTCCAGCTGGTCCAGAATGCGGCCGCGCGGGTGGTTATGGGCGCAACTTGTTGTGCCCGTGTGACACCCCTCCTGCGCGAGCTGCCCTGGCTCCCGGTGGTCTTCCGGGTGCGATTCAAGGTGTTGGTTACCACCTTTAAAGCGCTCCGTGGCATAGGACCCGGGTACCTCCGAGACCGTCTTCTGCCACCAATAGCCTCCCACCGGCCAGTTCGCTCCCACAGGGAGGGTCTCCTCAGGGTGCCATCAGCCAAGTCATGGCGGCTGGCGACACCCAGGGGGAGGGTCTTCTCTGTGGGGGCACCTGCCCTCTGGAACGAACTGCCCCCGGAAATGCGCAAGATCTCCGACCTCCGGGTGTTTCGCTGCGCATTGAAGACCCTGTTGTTCCGCCAGGCAGGGCTGTCAATATAATAATTTTAAATTGGGGTATTTTAAATTTCTGGGGTTTTAAATGGAGCCGAATTTATTTAATAATTTATTTAACAATTTAATAATTTATTTAATAATTTTAAATTTTTAATTGATGTTTGTCCTGTGCATCGCCCTGAGTCCTTCGGGAGATAAAATTATACGTATACTTATACACACACACCTGCCTGGTTTTGAACGCTAAAAGCCCCCCCCTCACCTTCGAAATGTGGGCAGCTGCACCAGACGGACACCGGCCTGCCTGCCTCTGAGCCATCAGTTCACCCCCCCCAACTCAAGCTGCACCGGACGGATTTCAACCCACCCAACCCCACTTCTCCACCACCACCCCGCCTGTTTGTCTCTAAGCCCCTCCCTCTTGTGGGCGTGTCCCCTGGTAGAAGCAGCTGCACCTGACGGATTTCAACCCACCCAACCCCACTTCTCCACCACCACCCCGCCTGTTTGCCTCTAAGCCCCTCCCTCTTGTGGGCGTGTCCCCTGGTAGAAGCAGCTGCACCTGACGGATTTCAACCCACCCAACCCCACTTCTCCACCACCCCGCCTGTTTGCCTCTAAGCCCCTCCCTCTTGTGGGCGTGGCCACTGGTAGAAGAAGCTGCACCTGACGGATTTCAACCCACCCAACCCCACTTTCCCCCCCGCCTGCTTGCCTCTAAGCCCCTCCCCCTTGTGGGCGTGGCCACTGGTAGAAGAAGCTGCACCTGACGGATTAACAACCCGCCTGCCCACCTACCGGACGGCGTGGACGTGGCTGTCGAGCTGCCCCACGGCCGGCCGCAGGAACTCCAGCAGCCCCTCGGCGAAGACGTCCCGGGCCGCCGGTCCCGCCGGGCTGGAAAGGCCCACCGTGGCCGCCATTGCTTCTGCTGCTGCTGCTGTTGTTGCCACCGCAAAGCCTGCCGGGAGAAAAAAAAATCTGCGCCTGCGCGCAGGCCGACGGGGTGGGGGTTTGAGTGCGCAGGCGTTTGGCGAAAGGCCCGCTGGGAAATGGAGTCCTATGGAGAGGGGAAATGAGATTCCCTTCTCCAGGTTGCTTTTTTAAAAAAATAAATAAATAAATCTAACGTAAATAATATAAAATGTATTTTCCTTCGAAGGGCTCCTTGGAGAGGAGAGAACAATTATTGTAGGTCTAGTCCAACCCTGTCCCCCTTAAAAAAAAAAAAAAAAAACAGGAAATGGGGTAGGGTCCCAGGGGTTGGACTAGATGACCTCCAAGGCTCCTCCCAGCTCTTGTTATTTATATATTTAATAGGAGCCCCTACCCCGTTTCTAAAAGATGGGCAGTCCAAGTCTTCTTCTTCCAATGCTTCCAGGGATGAAGCTCCCACAACTTCCGAAGGCAACTTCTGTCCCGATGAATATAGAATCACAAGAGTTGGAAGGGACCCGAGAGGTCATCTATCCCAACCCGCCTGCCCAAGCAGGAGACCCTTCCCCCCCATTTCTAACAGATGGCAGCCCAGATCTCTTCTTGAAAGCTCCCACCGCTTCCGAAGACCGGCGGCGAATGAGCTGCGTCGATACGACTTTCCATTTAAAGCCTTCCCAGATTTATTTGACAATCAAATCTTGAATCGAGTTTTGTAACAGATTTAACCATTTGGAAGGGACCTTGCGGGTCATCTAGTCCAACCCCCTGCTGAAGCAGGAGACCCCGGTATCCGCTTGTGCATATCTGTCTGTTTATAAGATTATAGTTTATAAAAAATTTTATTTTGAAAGCGCCCAAAGCACAACCGGTATTATTTTCTATTCCTCTCCCCGTTAAGCCAGGAAGCTTCCAACCGAAAGCCAACAAAATTTTCCTTTCTGGCTGTTAGAAAACCCGGAGACCAAACTTGAATCATCATCTATGAAGAACTGATCCCCCCTTAACATGCTCCCATCTGTGACTAGAGTGTAGTTGTTGATATTGTGTCTCTCTCCCTATATATATAAAATACAGATATATATAGATATACCCCCACTGGCAGTTAAAAGGAAGAAACAGCTGCAATCACACATTGCTCCTAGAAGCACGAAGCCGAAGACATCAGCCTGAAGATGACGAATGAGACTTCGTCGAAACGTCGCCAATTTTACGCGGGAGAAAACCCGAATAACCAAAGACCTAAATACAGATATATATATATACACAATCTTTTGATTGTAAATCACCCTGGTGGTTCAATGGGCAGCCAATAAATTTTATAAATGGAAATAAAATCCGGCCCAGGACAAAGAATCAAAAGAGTGGGACGGATAGGCCCCTTCTGATCAAGTCTCAAAGGGCTGGTTCCCCCACATCTTGGTTTGTTGATTTCGCACAAAAGGACAACCCGGTTAGTGTGGTACGCAAACCCTGATTTGGGCTCAGCGTCGCGTCGACACGAGAGAGTATTTGTTACTTGCTAGTGTTACTGGCAAGTAACTAGGGTTACTAGTTGTTACTTAATACGGAAGACGCTGGCAAGTCAATCAAACTTTTGAGCATCGTTTCAGGAAAGGGAGACCTCTGAGAAAGTGGAGCAGCCAAACTTGGCTCTGTGACAAGAAAAAATAGAGAGCTGGGTTTATTTTTATTTTTTAATTTTAATTACCGACTCTTTATTTAGCTGCCTGTGGAAGTTGAGATAGATGGGAAATTTAGGGAGCTAATATAGGACATTTAAAGAGAAAACTGGGAGGGGGGGTATCTCGGCAGACGGTGGCCAGCATCCCCCAACCCCACCTTGGATTCAGCATTTGGAACTCCTGGCCACTGGCCACTTTTTCTTTTGAAGAAGAAGAAACAACAACAAAAAGACACACAACACCACAAACGGGCACACAGTCCAAGTTTTCATTTCCCCTGCAATGAATTGTTTCCTTACAGAAAATCGGGATGTTTTACAAGAGGCCGTTCGGAACACAAAACTGCAGAGAGCGAGGGTGGGGTGGGGTGGGGTGGGGGGGTGAGGGAGAGAGAGGAAGAGCAACCATCTCCTTGGCAACCCGAACCCACCAAGCCCCCCCCCCTCGAAAAAAAAAACCCACATTAGTTTTGTCGCCATTAAAAACAACCCAAATAAAATAAAACGCCTCTCGGGCTTCCTTCTGGGATCGTTTGGGGTTTAGAAAAATCAAATTTGGGGCCTAATTTTTAGTTATTTTTCTCCTCGGGGGGGTGGAGAAGGGTCCTGCCACCCTGGGAGTCACAGCACGGCCCGTTGGGACATGGGAAAGTGTGTGTGGGGGGGTCTGGGATTCAGCCCCCTTCCTCCCCCCACCCGAGGGCAAGTTGTTTGGGGAGAGAAAGAGGGGGAAGACATGCGATGTTGCTCCACTGCAGGGCGAAGATTGGGGGGGATGCTGCTTTGCTAATGAAAAGGGGGAGCAACAGCTGTTCAGACACCCCTGTTTAGAGGCCGTTAGAAAGGGGTCTTCCACCCCCCCACCCCCCCCCAATATGCGATCACACAACGGGGAGCGTCGAAACGTAAAAAAGGGAAGGAAACATTTCAAAGAGAAAAGCTCCTGGCTTTCTACGTTTCTGCCTCGCAGCGCAGCCCCCCCCCCCCCCCGGGCAGGAGGAGGAGCTGGTGGCATCCGTGGTCGCCCGTGAGGGGGAGGAGCAATCGACAACCCCGCCCCAACAAGCATTAACACCCCCCCCCTTTTCCTTCCCCAGTCTCAATCGTTGGTTTCCGGGTCTGTCTGAGCCATGTAAGCATCCAGCTCAGCGTCCAGGTGTCCTTTCGTTTTCGACATGTAAGCGTCCAGCTGGTTGTCCAACTGCTCCTTGGTCAGCGCCGGGCGTGTGGCGCCTCTGCCTCGACCTCGGCCTCTTCCGCGGCCCCCGAAGCCGCCCCTGGCCCGACCGGCCATGCCGCGACCTTGGGAGGGGGAGAAAAAGAAGCCGGAACTGTTAGAAGGCTGCAAAACATTAAGATACCCAACCCCAATGATCCCTCCCCCCCCCACTCTGTCCCTCGGGTTCATTTCACTCACCTCGGCCAAGGCCGCCCCGTCCCATGGCTCCTCGGCCAAGGCCGCCCCTGCCGGGCCCTGCCCGGCCTCTCATGCCTCCTCTCCTCAGCCCCATCCGGGGACCGAGCCCCCGGCCTCCCCGAAGCAAACTATGTCCTGTAAGAGAGGGAGGGGAGAAGGGGGTCAAACACGGGAGGTCTCTTTTGAGATTCAAGCCCTGCCCGTAAATTCAAACCAGCTCTACAACCCCCCCACGCCCCAAAAGCCTCCTCCCCAGGTAATAATAATTTTATTTATTTAATCGTATTTGTATACCGCTCTACTCCCGGAGGACTCAGGGCGGTGAACAGCCAAGATAAAAATACAAATAACATACAAAAGTTAAAAACTATTAAAAATAGATTAAATAATTTGGGCTCAAAAAACAAATTTAAGACATCCAATTTATCCAAAACATTTAAAACCCAATTTAGATAAATAATGATGATGATGATAATAATAATAATAATAAATAAATAAATAATAATAATAATAATAATTTTATTTTTTATTTCTATACTGCCCTTCTCCCGAAGGACTCAGGGCGGTGCACAGCCTATTAAAAGCACAAGACAAACATCGATTAAAATAATGTAAAATTATTAAATAATTTGGCTCAATTTAAAACCCCAGAAATTTAAAACACCCAATTTAAAATTATTATGTTGATAGCCCGGCCTGGTGGAACAACAGGGTCTTGAGTGCACAGCGAAAAGAGTTCACACCTTCCCCAGGGCAAAAACCAAAGAATCCCACCCCCAATTCTTCTGCGGTTGCCTCCGGAAAACACACAACACACACACACACACAATAAAATCATTCCCCAGGGCCAGTTCTGTTCCGCAGGGATGTGGGTTTTACACCCAGCACACAGGCCTTAAGCATCTCTGTCCCCCACGCGGATGTGACAAACTGGACTGAATTTATAGATGCCAATTCAAAAAAAACAACCTGAGCATCATTTCCACAATCACACTCTCAGGTTTGTGATGCGACAGGTAATCCTCAATTTACGACCGTTTGAAAGTTACCAAAAGCACTGGAGAAAAAAAAAAAGGGGGGGGGGACTTAGGAGCTGTGTTTATGACTGCTACAGTGTTCTCCCCTTGGTCAGATGATCAAAATCCACACACTTTATTTTTTTATTTATTGAATTTGTATACCGCCCTACTCCAGAAGGACTCAGGGCGGTGAACAGCCAGATAAAATACATATAATGCAAATGTTAAAAAAGCATTCAAATACAATTAAATAATTTGGCCTGGAAAACGAAGTTTAAAACACCCCAATTCTTGACAACTGACGTGTGTCTATGAAGGGTGTAGAGCGTCCTGGGGGGAGTGGGGGATGGGGTGTCACGTGATTGCTGCCGGATTAAGCATCACTCACTGAGTAAACCACCTTGCTTAATAAGAGAGATTTGGTCGTAAGTTAAGGACTATCTGTATTCTTAAGAGAGACACAAAGAATGTATTAGAGAAGCGCAGAAAAACCACAACCAAAGGGCATCTAGAGGTGCACTCACCTCGCAGGGGGATTCCTCCGCGCAGCAGCCCCCGCGCTCCGCGTCCCCCGCGCATGGCGCCCCGGGGAAATCCTCTCTGCCCCATCGGCAGCCCCCGTCCTCCTAAGGCCCCACGAGCCAGGGCTCCCGCCGGCCGGCCTAAACGTGCCTGGATGTTACTTTTGCCCAGTCGTTGTTTCAGGCTCTTCTGGAAGAAGGGAGGGTTAGAAGAAGGGGAAAGGCAGCAGGGACAAGCAAGGGGGGCAATGCCAACCCCAAGTGTGAGCTACTTTACATAACCTACAAGGCAGAAATTTGCATTATTAGCGGCATCGCTGGGTGGGGGAAAAAAAAACACCAAAATCACACGGCTGGCTTTTGCCGCAGGAACGGATCAACTCTGGAAGTCTTAGTTCAGTGGCTGAATGGCAACCTCTTAATTCAGTTTTGAGTTAAAGGGGCTGCCACAGAGAGGAGGAAGGGGGTCAAGCTATTTTTCAAAGCGAAAGGAAGAAAGAAAGAAAGAAAGAAAGAAAGAAAGAAAGAAAGAAAGAAAGAAAGAAAGAAAGAAAGAAAGAAAGAAAGAAAGAAAGAAAGAAAGAAAGAAAGAAAGAAAGAAAGAAAAAGAAAGGAGGGAGGAACAGTTAGAAAAGATTCATAAATGGATGGATGGATTAGTAGATTAGATTAGATTAGAGTAAAGATGAAAGAAAAAGAAAGAGAAGAGAAAAGAGAAAGAAAAAGAAAGAAAAAAGAAAGGGAAGGAAGAAAGGAGGGAGAGAGGAAGGAACAGTTAGAAAAGATTCATAAATGGATGGATGGATTAGTAGATTAGATTAGATTAGATTAAAGATGAAAGAAAAAGAAAGAAGAGAGAGAAAAAAGAGAAAGGAAAGAAAGAAAGGAAGAAAAAGAAAAAAGAAAGGAAGAAAGAAAGAACGAAAGAAAGAGAGAGAAGGAAGGAAGGAAGGATTCATAAATGGATGGATGGATTAGTAGATTAGAGTAAAGATGAAAGAAAAAGTGAGAGAAAAAGAGAAAGAAAAACTCTTAATTCAGTTTTGAGTTAAAGGGGCTGCCACAGAGAGGAGGAAGGGGGTCAAGCTATTTTTCAAAGCGAAAGGAAGAAAGAAAGAAGAAAGAAAGAAAGAAAGAAAGAAAGAAAGAAAGAAAGAAAGAAAGAAAGAAAGAAAGAAAGACATTTGAGTGAACCATGGATGAACAGAAGAAATGGCTGGTCTAGTGAAGAGAAGGACCAGGGGAGAAAGGATAGCATCTTCCAATATTTGAGGGGCTGCCCCAGATGAGGAAGGGGGGGGTCAAGCTATTTTCCAAAGCCCCTGAAGGCCAGACAAGGAATAAAATGGATGGAAACTGACCAAGGAGAGATTCAACCTGGAAATAAGCAGGAATTTTCTGATACTGAGAACAATCAACCCATGGAGCCTTCGGAAGTTGTGGGAGCTTCATCCCTGGAGGCTTTCAAGAAGAAACTGGACTGCCATCGGTCAGAAATGGTGGAGGCTCTCCTGCTTGGGTGGAGGGTTGGACTAGATGACCTTCAAGGTCCCTTCCAACTCTGTTAATCTAATCTAAGCTTGAGGGCAAGCCAAAGGGGAGAGCAAATGCCCCTCCTTCTTAAGATATGAGCTTTGCAGGCAGGAATTTCTGGCTTGAGCTTCAGAGCATCCCAATCTGTCAATCATCCAGGCCACAGTTGTCCCAAAGGTGTGTTTTTTTTTCCTTTTCTTTTTTTTTTCAAAAGGTAACTGGACATCATGGGTGTTTTGTTTGTTTTTTTCCTTCTGAATCCAATAAATCCTTCCATTCCCCACCGGTCAGTTAGAACTGAAGCAGCTTCTTGGGATGAGAAGCGAAGCATTTTCCAAGGGAAAAATAAAACAGGGAAGTCCAGATGCCTTTTTTGGGGGGCGAGGGGGGGGAAGCATTTTGGGGACCGAGGATCCCATTCCCAAAAGGAGAGAAGAGAAGGGGAAAAAGGGAAACCTCAGCCATAAGAATCACAAATGGCTTGGCTTGAGAAGAAACGTTAACTTTTCAAATGCCTCTTTGCCAGCAGGGTAGAAAAGCATGAATAATGAGTAATAATCCTCATGTCCCGCTTCACAGTGTTTTATAAACCCCCTCTAAGCTGTTTCAGAGTCAGCCTATTGTCCCCCCACAGACCACCTGGGTTCTCCTTTTACCGACCTCGGAAGGATGGAAGGCCGAGGGCCCCTGTAATGGAATTTGTCACTGCCACGTTACAAGCCCAGAGAGACGAAAACAGTATAGAATTCTCTTTTTTCCAACGATTATCAAGCAAGGGAGGTGCCCCTTAGCCAAACTGTCTGAAATGCCAAGGGAACAAAACCCAGCATTGATTGGGGATAGGATTCCACCCCTCTCGCTGGGCTCTTTTGATTTAAATTTCATCCCAACAATTCCATTCTTTCCCTCTCTCTCCATATATATAGAGAGGAGGGGGGGAGGGAGAGAGAAGGAGGGAAGGAAAAGGTAAGTGATAGAAAGAGAGAAAGGGATAAGGAAGGAAGGAACAGGTAGGATAGAAAGATAATTTGAGAAAGAGAGGGAATGAGAGAGAAATGAAGAAAGGAGGGAGCAGATAGATGATAGAAAGATTATACGGAAAGTGAAACAGAGAAAGTGATAGAGATTAGAGATAGAAATATATATAGTAGATAAATGAGAGAGGGAGAGAGAGAGAGAGAGAGAGAAAGAAAGAAAGAAAGAAAGAAAGAAAGAAAGAAAGAAAGAAAGAAAGAAAGAAAGAAAGAAAGAAAGAAAGAAAGAAAGAAAGAAAGAAAGAAAGAAAGAAAGAAAGAAAGAAAGAAAGCTTTTTATCTTAGCAGTGCATTCTGGAGAGGAATCTTGGAATCTTGGAAGAGAGAGGAAGGAAGGAAGGAAGGAAGGAAGGAAGGAAGGAAGGAAGGAAGGAAGGAAGGAAGGAAGGAAGGAAGGAAGGAAGGAAGGAAGGAAAGAAGAAAGAAAGAAAGAAAGAAAGAAAGAAAGAAAGAAAGAAAGAAAGAAAGAAAGAAAGAAAGAAAGAAAGAAAGCCAATTCTGCTGGGTCACAGGAATTGCTGGAATGAAAATTAAATCAAAAAAGCAAAACGGGTGGAATCCTATCCCAAAACTGAGTTCCCCCCCCCAAATATATATATATATAAATACATATAAAAAAGAACAGTGTCCGCTTTCATTCGCACCACACCTAATCGCTCCGAGGCGCTCCGGCCGTGAATTTGCAACCGGCCGACATTTCCAAAGAAGAAAAAAAAAATTGCAGAGTTTTGCTCGTAATCCGCCCGATCATGTTTGAGAGGAGATGGGAGCATGGCAGGCTAAGCCCTGCAGGATCCGATCGGGGTGGGACACGGGGACCAGAGGTTTTTGTCTTCCGAGCTTTCGGACTGGGGTGCCGGAGCCCATCCTCACCTTCACCCTCCAGGTCCTTCCCACCCCTCCAGCCGCCGAGCGTCTCCTCTACCACCGGCCTCACCTGCTTGAGTTTCAAGGCAGCCTGGACGGAAGGCCTGTTTTCCATCTGCTGGGCCAGCCTCCGGTTTCGGGCACTGGCTAATTGCTGCTGCTGCATTGTGGCGCGAATATTCACCGGGATCGGCTGTTTGTTCTTCAGCATATTAGTAAAGCTTCAAGGTCGAACAAAACGGGTGTAGTTTAAGCAAACGTTTCATTACAAACCCATTTTTAAGCGGCATTTCACAGCCCTCTCAGAGCAGAAGGGAGGTGCACAGCGGCATCCCAGGAATTTTTTTTTTTTTTTTTTATAATCAACGTAATAAGGTGGTTTACACACACTCAAGATCCCGTTTAAAGCGTAATGGGAACTTTTTTTTTTTTTTTTTTTGTTTTCCTCATTTTTCCACAAAGCGTGCAGGGAGTGGGGAGACACACACACACACAAACATTCGAAAGGCGTGGATGGAAAACCAGAGACGGATGATGTCGAAATAAAATCAAGCAAAAGGTGGGAAAACGGACAGAGCGAAGCAGAAATGGCGGTGAAAAGACGGGGGGGGGGGTCTAAGTAGACAAGGGAGGAAGGAAAGGAGGGAGGTTTGGAGGATGTTAAGAAGGGTTAACTCCTAGGTTACTCCCAAAGCTACAACCCTCTTGGCTAGGACAAATAAAATCTTGACATCCTGAAACCGGCATTGAGAGAAGTATCCCAAAACCATAAACCTAGCTTACCCTTTTTTTTCTCCCTCCAAATTGGTTGGACACCATTGCTGTCTATGCAACAAAATTTATAAACATAATGTGTATCTGTTAACATTCTACAGGAAACATTTTGTACACCTTCAACGTAACTTCTAGGAGCAGTGATCCAATCGGGTGGGTTTTTTTTCAAACGGGAACAGGGCGGCCCACAAGACTTATTAGTGAATATTTATTATTTCCCCCGTTTGCTTCAGGATACGAATAATAAAAAAAAGCCTACGTGGGAAAGAGTTCCTGAGTGTTGGCAACTGGATCCGATGGGCTTTTGGGCCAATCAAGTTGCCGATTTACATCCGGAAAAAGACTACAGATAGTCCTCGGCCTACGACCACAATTGAGCCCAACATTTCTGTTGTTAGGTCAGACATTTGTGAAGTCATTTTTGCCTCATTTTGCGACCTTTCTTGCCACGGTTGTTAAGTGAAACACAACGCAGCTGTTAAACGGGTAACACAGTTGATAAGTGAATCTGGTTTTCCCACTGACTTAGCTTGCCATAAATACGTGTCAGTTGCCAAGTGTCCGAATTTCGATCACCTGTCCACGAGGATACTGCAACAGTCGTTAAGTGTGAAAAATGGACTTAAGCCACTTTTTCAGTGCTGTTGTTACCTCCGTCACTAAACAAACGGCTGCAAGCTGAGGATTACCTGTAGGGATATTTTCCAGGGAAGAAAGGATGCTGTTAAAACATCCCAGCCTCCATTACCTGTAGATAATCTACTACCTATAGATTTTTTAAAACTGCAGGTGAGTTACGATATTCTCCTGCTGGACATTTAGGCTGATTAACCCAGGAATAGAATTTAACACAGAAGGGGAACAAAAAGCAAAAGCTTCAGGTTAACAGTCGGACATTTGAACTCACAAAGACACGGACGAGGAAGAGGAGTGCAGAGGAGAGGAAGTAGCAGGTGATGGAGCCAAGCACTTGCCTCTTACAAGGCCCCCAAGGAGCCTTCGGGCTGGTCAGAGCGGCCAGCTGCCTGCCTCTTACAGCGCAGACCACACGAGCTCGCGCGCGTCTGCCTCGGGCACAGCAGGAAGCCTCCCGCAGCTGCGGTGACATGCTACCACACTGCGGGTGTCATACCACACATCTCTAGAATATGAACACATGTGGAAGAAAAAAAGGAGGGCGTTTCCTCAGGACACATCCCACCACGCGACCGGGTTTTTGCCGGTTAAGACCGACACGTTTGCCCTTTTCAACCTGGTGTACCACGGCGGGCTGCGGGATCGAAGGGCAGCGGGGAGCTGCCCACGCGGCTCTTGGGTGCCTCTGGATAGATTTAGAAGCATCGCAAAGACCGCTCTTGCTCTGGATACCAAACAGAGTGTACAAAACTAAAAAAAAAAAAAAAGAGAACGTAAAAAATAAAAAGATCTTATGAGCTGAAGGTGGCCGTTGGGTTCCTCACCGCTCGTTAAGAGACATCTTGCTGGTGCTCTTAAGCACGACTTTCGGCGCTGACTGCGCGGCCATCTCCGGTGCCCAGAACCTGCGCAAAAAAAGGAGGATGTTACTAAAAGAGTCCAATTATTTACTTATATCCTGCCTTCATTATTTTTATTATTATTACTACTACTATTATTATTATTTCAAATAACTCCAGGCAACGGACATATCCAAGACACTTTCTTCTTCCTATTTTCCTCACAGCAACAACCCTGTGAGGTAGGTCCAGTCATCTAGATGTTTCATGCCTAAGGCGGGACTAGAACTCCCCGACTCCTGGTGATTGGCCCAAAGTCATCTAGATGTTCCATTCCTAAGGTGGGACTAGAACTCCCCGACTCCTGGTGATAGGCCCAAAGTCACCTAAATGGCTTTCAGGCCGAAGGTGGGACTAGAACTCCCCATCTGCTGGTGATTGGGTGCTTTCTAGCCTAGTGTCTTAATGACTACCCCCAAACTGGCTCCATTCTTTATTTTTATTTTAATACTCTTGATTATTGACTCCTAGGGACCACCTGAAACAGGCCAGCTGCCCACCAGAAGAATGGAATAGAATAGACTTCATTGTCACTTTGAAGGCACACTAATTGGCAACACATTAAAAGTGAAATCTCGTGGCGTACGGCTCTCAAAAGGGCCGCCACCTCCAACCTAACACCACATAAAACATGGCAAGATAAATAAGGAAGCAAATATAAATTTATGTATATATACATGTTTATATACATGTATATAACTAAAAAAAAAATAAAAAAAAAATAAAAAGATAAAGATCAAACTCAAACATGTTTATCCTGGGAAAAACTATATACTTGGCTAGCGAAGAGAAAACCACAACCCAATTGAAAAGAGGAAAGGTATTTACTGAGAAACCTATATTATACTAACAAAGTGAGGTCGGATAGACCTAATTGATGTATAAAGAGATATAAGTCGTTCTGTCTCCCTCGGAATATAATGTACTGGCAGATATGTTTGTTATCTGTTATGTTGTCTTGTATGTTATTTATAGGGTGTGTTGTTATTTTTTGTTTTTTTTTTAATGGAAAATGTAAATAAAGATTTTATTATTATTTTTTTAAAAAGAAAATTATGTATATAGCCACAAAGGTTATAGGAATCCCCAGCTGTGGAGCCAGCAGCCACAGAAGCTCCTCAGGCCATTGTGTCCTTTGCCCCCCCCCACCAGCCTACCCTTCAGGGTTGTTGTAGCAGTAAGGGAAATTTCAGGAACCCTCAATGAAGAATTCCAATATGGGCTTTTAGAGGGGGGGCAATTGTTTGGGGAGGGGGCAAACACTCAAGGAAGGGCTCTCCCAGCCTGGGGTTCCCCCCCCCCCAATAAGCCCATCTATTAGCAAAACTGGACTACAACTCCCATCATCCCCCAGGAGAGGAATACCCATAATACACAGACGCCCCAGATGGGACATGCAGTCCAGAATACCACACTGAAGCACCAGGTGGGGAGGGGGGGAGTGTGCGCAAGAGAGCGGCCCCGCCCCTCTCCACCGGAAGTGCCCGCCCCCACTTCCGGTAGGCCGCGTTTCGAGCCGGTCACGTGGGCCAACGGTCCCGGCGAGCCCCCCCCATCCAAAATCCCACCCGGCCACCCCCGCGGGTCCCCCTCACCGTCGGGGTCGAGGCTCGCCCGGCTTGTTTGGCGACTCTGCCGGCGGCTGCGACGGGAGGCTCCGTTCAGGCCTCGCCCGGCCGGCCCCGTCGGATGCCCTGAACGCCAAGATGGTGGCGGTGGTGGTTCTCTCCCCCTTCACTTGTCCGACCCTCGGGAGCAGCACGACGCGCTCTCCGCCGCCGCTGCTGCCGCTGCTGTTGCTCCTCCGCCGCCTCTAGAAATCTCCCCTCAGAAAAAGCCCCGGCAAAATGGCGCCGCCCAAGGCTTTTCTTTCTTCACAGCTCGCGCATGCGCCGGCGAGGGAAAAAAAAAAGGCTCCGCCCACCCACTGTCCGAGACGCGCAGGCGCAGAAGAGCGAGCACGAGAGAGAAAAGGGCGGAGCCCCCAAGAGCGACGAATAGCTCTTCGTGTAGCCGCCAAGGGGCGGAGCTTCAGCTCCTTCCGCTGACTTCGCCATTCATCACTCCGCCAGGGGGCGGGGCTCGGCGGCTTGTGGGCGGGGCGCCACGTTTTTATGAATGGGAGTTTTGTTTTCTCCCCCCCCCGCCCCCTCAAAAAAAAACTTTTAAAGAGTTTTTATCTGTCTCGCGTTCTTTTAAATCTTGGAGTTGATTCCCAAAAAAGAGCCTGTTTCGAGCATGGCTAGTTGTCTCAGTATGGGAAAAAAATGGTGTAGTTTTTGCATTTCAGCTGGCCAAAGCCCCTCCCCCCTCCAGGGCCATTTTGTGAGTGCGCCCACAAAACCAGATTCCAGACTCTCCCCTGTCCCTGGGTCCATCTCCCTGCTTTCCCCAGGCTCCCCTCTTGCCTTAAGAGCCCCAGACTGCCTTCTACCCCTCTTCCCTAACGCCCTTGTAGGAAGTTAGCACCCACTCCTCTCCTAGAAAAATGAAATATTCTAGGAAATATTAAAAAGGGGGCAGAATATCAGCCCCCCCCCACCTTTCTCAATGGATCATTAAGGCCTGGGTCAGCCTATTCTACATAACAAAGATCTACGTCCTTCAGGCAGAGCCCTACTAGGAATTGCCCCAAGCCCTTTCATTACATCATCACCCCGCAGGAGTCAACCAAGCCTAGGACACAGACAACCTACAAAGTTACCCCTGCATGGTCCCATGGGAGTCTGACCACCAATCAGAACACGAGCTCAAATTCAAATCCCAATAGAGGGTATAAATCTCTCTCTCTCTCTGCTCCATGTGCCTTTTTTGACCGGGATCTCAAGCCATGTGATCCTGTCCACCATTAAACCATCTTTCCCAATAGTCTCCATATATTCCAGTGTCTTTTTCCCCACTTGTAACTGAACCCAGATGGACATTTCTTCCAACACCCCGAAGCCCCCCCCCCGCTCTCCCTACGCCCCCCCCCCCCGAGAGACCAGACCAGGCGCAGTGCACACTAAACAGCTTTAATCAGCAGCAGGGCTGTCCCAGCAGACGATTACATGGCACCTCGGGGTGCTCCCAGTTGGGCAGAGAAGCCGCGAGAAACGGGGGAAAAGGCGTTGCGAAGGGGACAGCTGGGCTTGAAGCCCCCCCCAAAACTCCCGAGCTTTGCGTTCCCGCTAAGGGCCGCCGGCAAGCTCAGGTTTCCTCCGAAAAGGAAGAGTTTCTTTCTATAATTAGGTTGACCACCAGCTTCAGGAACTCCTGGAAACTGACTTTCCCGTCGCCGTTCTCGTCCACATCGCACATGATCTTGTCCACCCCCTCCGGATATTTCTGGGTCTGGAAAAAACAGAAACCGGACAAGGATTTGGAGTGCCGTTCGATTCCCCCGAGTCAAAGGATACCGGGCGATATTCCCCCCCCCCCCCCGGTGCTCATCCGTCTCCCTGACTGTTTTCCCAGATTCCGACATGTAAAAATTCTAGTCCCACTTTGGCATGAAAGCCGGCTGGGTGACTTTGGGCCAATCACCAGGAGACTGGGAGTTCTGGCTGACTGGGTGACTGTAGGCCCATCACTAGGAGACTGGGAGTTCTAGTTTCCACCTTAGCCCTGAGAGACGATTGGTTGACTGGCACAATTATCAGGAGAGGGTGAGTTCTAGTCCCAGTTTAGCATGATAAGGCAGCTGGGTGACTTTGGGCCAATCACTAGGAGACTGGGAGTTCTAGTCCCACCTTAGCCCTAAAAGACGATTGGTTGACTGGCCCAATTATCAGGAGAGGGTGAGTTCTAGTCCCAGTTTAGCATGATAAGGCAGCTGGGTGACTTGGGGCCAAACACCAGGAGACTGGGAGTTCTAGTTTCCACCTTAGCCCTGAAAGACGATTGGTTGACTGGCCCAATTATCAGGAGAGGGTGAGTTCTAGTCCCAGTTTAGCATGATAAGGCAGCTGGGTGACTTGGGGCCAAACACCAGGAGACTGGGAGTTCTAGTCCCACCTTAGAAGTTGAGCAGGGGTAGGACTAGTCAGAACAGAGGTGGAAGGGACCTGGGAGGTCTTCTAGTCCAGCCCTCTGCTCAAGCAGGAGATCCTAACCTACTCCTAGGCCATTCCAGACACATGGCTGCCTTAGTCTCTTCTTAAAAACCTCCACAACTTCTGGTGGCAAGCGGTTCCACTGATGAATTCTTAGGAAATTCTAGGTTGCTTCTCTCCTTGGTTAGTTTCCATCCGTTGCCTTCTGGTGCTTCGGAGAATAGGGAACCCCCCCTCTTCTTTGGGGCGGCCCCTCAAATACGAGACTCCTGCCGTCTTGTCACCCCCTGGTCCTTCTCCCCTCCAGACTGGACTAGAAGACCTCCAGGGTCCCTTCCTCCTCTGTTTGTGACTGGTTTGAAGAGAAAAGGCGGAAATCCATCGGTCCTACCTCCAAGCCCAACTCCTTCTGCAGCAGCTGCTTCAGCTCCTTCTTGCTCAGCTTATCCTTGTCGCCTTTTCTGGTGGCATACTGGTGGAAGATGTTGATGATGATCTCCATAGCCCTCTCCAATTCCGATGGCATCCTGGGGCCTGCAGAGAGAGAGAGAGAGAGAGAGAAAGAAAGAGAGAGAGAGAAAGAGAGGGAGGGAGGGAGGGAGGGAGAGAGAGAGAGAGAGAGAGAGACGGAGAGAGACGGAGGATGCTGAAGGCCACACACCTGTATTGCAAACATTCTGGGATGGTCTGTCTAAAGACCATCTGGGAGGGAGGGAGGGAGAAAACTCTTTCCTTTCCTTTCTTTCCTCCTTCCTTTCCCTCCACCTATTTATCTATCTATCCATCTATTTATATTCCTTCCTTCCTCCCTCCCATCTTTTCCTTCCTTCCCTTCCCTTCCATCTACCTATTTATCGATCCATCTATCCATCTATCTATATTCCTCCCTCCCTCATACCTGTTTTCCTCCTTCTCCTTCCTTCCTTCCCTTCCATCTCTATTTATCTATCTGTCCTTCTATCTATATTCCTCCCTCACTCACTCCCTCCCATCTTTTTTCCTTCCTTCCTTCCTACCATCTATTTATTTATCCATCTATCTATATTGCTCCCTCTCTCCCACCTTTCCTCCCTCCCTCTCCTTCCTTCCTCCATTCCCTTCCATCCATTTATTTACCCATCTACCTTACTTCCTACATACCTTCCTTCCCTTCCATCCACCTCTTTATCCATCTATCCATCTATCTATATTCCTTCCTCCCACCTGTTTCCCTCCCTCCCTCTCCTTCCTTCCTTCCCTTCCAATGACCTATTTATCTATCTGTCCTTCTATCTATATTCCTTCCTTCCTTCCTTCCTTCCTTCCTTCCTTCCTCCCTCCCTCCCTCCCTCCCTTCTTTGACTCTAAGCACTACACCGCGCTACCTCTTAAGACATCCGGGCTGCATTTCCTCCTGCGAACCTGCTCCGGCTTGCAGCCTGTGTCTGGCGGGTGGGCAGCCTGGGAAAATGAATGGCGGGCAGCCCAGGGGTGTCAAGGGCCAGCCATTGTGCCCGGGCAACCACCAGGCACCTCTAGGAGGGGACTCCAAGCCCCAACATCTGGACCTCTCCCTCTCACACACTTTTGGGTCTCTGCCGCTGAGACAATGGGGGGGGCTCATTTGGGGGGAGGATGGGGGCTTTGATGGAGGGGAGAAGGGTTGGGGAGGAGAAGGTGGTCTTGGGGTGATTGGAGTTGGTGGGATCTGGTGAGATTGTCTGTCTGTCTATCATCTGTCTGTCATCCATATCTATCTATCTATCTATCTATCTATCTATCTATCTATCTATCTATCTATCTATCTATCTATCTATCTATCTATCTAACTATCAATCATCTCTATTATATTTTCTCATTTATATTATCAATTACATCTATCTATCTATCTATCTATCTATCTATCTATCTATCTATCTCTATATCATCTCTATTATATTTTCTCATTTATATTATTACATCTCTCTCTCTCTCTATCTATATCTATCTATGTATATCTCTATATCATCTCTATTATATTTTCTCATTTATATTATCAATTACATCTATCTATGTATCTATCTATCTCTATCATCTCTATTATATTTTCTCATTTATATTATTACATCTATCTCTCTCTCTCTATCTATATCTATCTATGTATATCTCTATATCATCTCTATTATATTTTCTCATTTATATTATCAATTACATCTATCTATGTATCTATCTATCTCTATCATCTCTATTATATTTTCTCATTTATATTATCAGTTACATCTATCTATCTATCTATCTATCTATCTATCTATCTATCTATCTATCTCTATATCATCTATGTTATATTTTATCCAACTCCCAGAATCCCCCAACCAGCCTGCTTTAAGAGGGATGGACTTCAACTCCCAGAATTCCCCCAGAGGGATTCAGACCCAACCAGATTCTTATTTCCCCCATCACAATAATCTGGAAACTCTAAAAAAAAAAAAAAAGTCTCCCTTGCATGGCAAACAGCCTCATTGTTCCAGATTCCGGATTCAGAGGTAGACTGCAGCTGAGGCTGGAGGTTCCTCGGATCGGCCACTAACCTGAGATATACAGCAGCTGGCAGCTTTTTCTGGGAGAACGTTCCCACAGGTGCTCTTTCCCTCCTCTCCTTCCACTCTCAGCCTGCAGCTAATAAAAAACTTAATTTAATTTAATTTAATTAATTCAATTTATATGCCGCCCCTCTCTGAAGACTCAGGGCGGCTGAGGAAGAAATTAATGCTAATTGTTTTTTCTTTTGTTTTGTTTTAGAAAGTAGCTGACTGGCAGCTTCACACCGCCAGTCTTAAAGGGCAAACTGCCCAGATTTTTTTCCCACCTGTAACACTCTGTGTTGCAAAGTTGGGCAGATCCGTATTTCCCAAGCTGCCTGTCTCCGAATATCAGAGAAATATTGTTGCCATCCGCCATCCCTTCTCCAACGCTCCCTGCATCGAATCCAGGGAATCCTCGACTTACGACAGTTCATATAGTGACCGTTTGAAGTTACAAGGGCACTGAAAAAAGTGACTTGTGACAGTTTTTTCACACTTGGGACAACTTCAGCATTCCCCACGGCGATCCAAATTCAGACGCCTGGCAAACGTCTCCTATTTATGACGGTTATTAAATATATAAAAGCAAAATAATACACCATGTGTATACAAAACACGTATATATCCATATAAACAACACTACATAAAAAGAAAAAGTGATTTTCGTCACATATCCGTTCTGTTATTGACGGTGCATTTTTTAAAAAATTTTTGTTATCATTCAGAATTTTGCATTTGCCCTCATTTCTCCAAGTTATCCAATCATACCATCTATTCCATACTATACAATATTTTGAGCCTGCCTTATCTTTCAATTCAAATGTTAATTTATCCATTTCCACACAATTATAGATTTTTTTGAATTTGTTGGTAGTTGATCAGTTTTCCAAAATTGAGCTAGCGCCAATCTGGCTGCAGTGACTATATGTAGCATTAAATTCTTTCTTTCTTTCTTATAATTTTCTTTAATCATCCCTAGTAAAAAAATTTCTGGTTTAAGTTCTATTTTTTCCGATGTTATTTCTATTAGCCAAATCCTTATTTTTCCCCAATACTTCCAATTTTTTGGGCAAAGCCACCAAACATGGAGAAAAGTGCCCAGTGCCTGCTTGCATTTCCAGCAAGTTGGACTTAAGTTCAAATTCATTTTCGCTCACCACGAAGGTGCCAGATACCATCTATACCACATTTTATACTGGTTCTCTTTATAAACCCTGATTTTGTCATAATATAATTATTTTCCCACACTCTTTCCCTGTCCTCCAGTTCTATGTTATGTCCGATGTTTCTTGGCCATGCTATCATTTGTCTCTTTACTAATTCTTCTGCCAAATCAAATTCCAATAAATATTTATAAATGTTTGAAATCAATTTTTCCTCCGTGACTTCTAAAAGTTGATCCAACCGATTTGGTTTTAATTCAGTTCTTCCTTCCTCTTGGTCTTTTTTCTATCTTGTTTTTATCTGTAAATAGGGCCACCGGTCAATCTGAATTCCTTGCTCTCCGAGTTCTTCTTGTGTTTTTAATATTCCCTGGGGATCTAATATTTCATTATATCTTACCATTCTTTGAATCGCCAAGGTATTGGGCTGTGTCATCGCCTCCATTGTGAATAACCAACCAGGAACTTTCATATAGAGTTTACTTTTAATTTCCTGCCATGTATGAATGAATGAATCTCTTAAAAGATGATTACAAAAATACTTATGTGTTTTGCTCCTGGTGTTCCAAAAGAAGGCGTGCCACCCCATCATCAAATCGTGTCCCTCCAAGGTTAGCAATCTTTGATTTTTCAAATTCACCCATTCCCTAATCCATGTCAAACCCGTTGCTTTATAATATGTTTCCCATGCCTGTAAATCAAATCCACCTCTGGCTCTGTCATCCTGCAGTATACTTAATTTAATTCTTGCCCTTTTTCCTTCCCATACAAATTTTGTGGTTATTTTATTCAGATTTACAAAAATCCTTTTCATGCCGGTCATCCGAGCGGCCTCTGGGGAGGGACCCCATTGTCCACGCGGAGCTGGCCAGAGACACTCGATCCCTCGTCTCGTGTCTTCTATCGGTTACCCCTTCGATGAGAGAGGCCGCCACGGAGACCGCAGCCTCCCTGGACGGACAGGTAATCCTTGTTTTACGACTAGAATGGAGTCCCGAATTTTCATGGCTTGTGACGTTTGTGAAGCGGGTTTTGCCCTCTTTTGCGACCTTCCTTACAGGAGCTTTTAAGTGGGTCACTGCGCTTGTTAAGTCCCCCTGGACTTGGCTCGTCGGAAGGTCGAAAAAGGGGATCCCGGGTTCGCCGCAACCGTCATAAATAGGAAACGTTTGCCAGGCGTCTGAATTTGGATCGCCGTGGGGAATGCTGCAGTGGTCCTAAGTCTGAAAAAACTGTCACAAGTCACTTTTTTCAGTGCCCTTGTAACTTCAAACGGTCACTAAATGAACTGTCATAAGTCGAGGATTCCCTGGATTCGATGCAGGGAGGATTGGAGAAGGGATGGCGGATGGCAACAATATTTCTCTGATATTTATTTATTTATTTATTTATTATTTTATTTTATGATTTTATGATTTTATGATTTTATGATTTTATGATTTTATGATTTTATGATTTTAC